GAGATGCATACCATTAGAATCGGGAGAAAATTCTCTTTCTAATGATATGCATCTCGCAAAATCGACAAAAAATAGACTTACGACCATTCTCTGGGACGCTGTCGAGATTCGACACTATACGCAACCGCTCCGAGGTACGACCTTATACGCAGCCGCTCCGAGGTACGACCTTTTAGTTTTCAGGGGTCGAAATGGTGGCTTTGCATATGGAATTAAAACATTCATTGTGAAAAATGCGATGGCTGCACCGGGAAGAAAATGAGTACGATGGTCACAACACAAATATGTGTCAAAGAAAAACTGTGGAGGTTGCCAGGGAGAATCATTTTTTAAATGAAAATATTTACTGTGCAAAAGATAGTTTTACATCAAGCAAAAACATACTTGACTTATCAAAGTAGTGCAGACAGAAAAGAGAAAAGTCCTTCGATATCATTACAAAAAAATTGTCTCCAATGATTAATTTTCTTGATAACGTCCAAAAGAAGATCGTTATTGACAGAACAGGTTCCGGTTAATGACAATCCAGCACGAATCCACGACCTCGTCTTTCTTGAGGTCGCTGCTGTCCCAAATGCGGTGTTGGCACCCCAGAGCACACACCGTGCAAGGCACGCCGCCGTCACAGTACTTAGGTCTCCGGAGCAACAGTAGCTGCACACAGGGGTTCATCGCCAGAAACTTTCGGATCGCGTCCGCGTGCATCCAGGCGTGGATACACCTGGAGTACACCCTGAGCCTGAGGCTCCGCAGCGCCGGGGCCGTGACGGGCGTGATGCCCTGCAGCAGCTCGCCCGGCACCGCGTCCACGTCCACCTCAAGGTGCTGCAGAGCCGGTAGCGAGGGCAGCGCGCTCAGCAGCGGGTCCAGCTGCGGGAAGTCCTGCACCCTGTCGTTGTCTATGACGAGCGACTCCACTTGGGACCGACCGGAAGCACCCAGGGCCGCCACCAGGTCCACGCCGGCGTCAGCGGGGCTGTCGGCGCCCGGGCGGTACTGCAGGGTGACCTTGCGCAGCTGCACGGCACCCCGGAGGAAGGCCGCGGCCCCGGGGTAGTCCGGGTGCGTCATGCGCATCACGTACAGCGTCACCTCGCGCAGGGACCCGCAGGCCGCCACGGCCTCCAGCCCGGGCAGCGCGGGGCAGCTCAGCACGCGCAGGTTGGGCATGCCGGCCAGCCGCTCCGACCGCTCGGTCGAGAGCACGTTCACGTACGGCGCTCCGAGGTAGCTCGAGAAGCTCACCTCCTCCAGGCTGGTGGCGAACAAGAACATCAAGAAGCTGCCGAAACCCTCGTTCAATCCGTTGACTCTCCAGTCAAAGTGCCTCAATTGTGCCAAGCGCTCGCCGGCTTTGTAGACATTGTGGAATCGTTGCGTGTCCGCGCCGACCATGTGGTGGCCTACATCTAAGTTTCCCGAAACTGCAAGTGTCTGCAGGTCAGGCGCAAACACTGGAAGCTTCAAAAGGAAAGCGCCACACTCGCGGTGGCAGTCAAAAAAGAACAAGCTTAGGTGACTCAGCCGGCCGAGTCTCACCTGTCGGCCAATCGGCGCCCTGGCGTCGGCAATAGCATCATCCCAAAAATCCAAGCTTAACTTTGCAACCTCACAGCTGGTCTTCTTTAGGTTCCTGGCAACACACGTCCGGGAGGGGAGGCCGACCTTCAGCGCGCCCAGGCACGGCGCCAGGCCCAGGGCGGCGCACTTCCAGCTGCAGTCGTCCTCGTGCAGAGAAGAAAGAACCTCGATGCACCGGCGCCGCCACACGTCCGGGTGCAGGGCCAGACCGCAGAGCCTCTTGCACACGAGGCGACACGCGAAGACGTCCTTCGCGTCCACGTACTGCAGCAGCGCCAGCAGGACGTCGTCGGGTAGGTCCTCCATGCTCACTGCGAGGACGCAATCACTGCGGTTTACTACACTGGTCAGCCTGTCGGCACGAGCCTCTAGTTTCCTACAGCGGTCAGCGGTCAAACACTTGGAACTTACCTTTGGTTGTGACGTTGTGACGAAACGGCGGGTATAGCGGCTGACCAGGCTGAGCTGCACGCGACAGATCTGATGTAATGACTGACCAGACGAGCACCCGAGAGAGAGCTGGCCGGCAGATCCATGTGTGCTTCCTCGGTGGTGGATTTCCCACGAATGTGTGTTCGGATCGGAGTTCGGCCGGCCCCACCTTCCTCTCTCAGTGCAGTGCACAGCCCCTAGGCCCAGGTCAACCAGGGCCAGGCAGCTGGGGCCCACCCGGGGCTCCCCCGGGGCCCCAGCCAAAGGATTGGGGATGGCCGCAAGGCAGCCGACGGGACGGAGCGGGTCTGTTCAGCCTGATGAAGAATGCACTGGTAGGTAAGCCCTGCTGCCAGCTGCCACCGATCAGCCGAATAAAACCCACAAGGAAGGCAGCGCGAGGGGCTACTTTCGCAATTTAGGATGACACCCCCCCCCCCCAGCCAAGGTGCGCAACCCGACCTGAACTCCTAGAGGACCCCACCCCCCACCGGGGCCCCTTCCCAACTTCATGTGCCCCCTCTCATTTTATCACCCACTCCCCTTTGTGCAGAAAAGGTTTAAGAAGGCACACAAACGTATAAATAGGTACATTGCAATTTAATTAATCATGTAAAATAAGTGCCGGTAACAAAACAAAACAAAATGTATTTCCACATTGCACATGTACGTTTTTCACAACACCCTATACAAAGCAAAGCACCTTCGAAGGTGAACAACCAGAGTCTTCGCCTCAAAAAATTGCACTCTGCACTCTGCAAGTGGCTTCTCTCCCGTAATTTCTGTTTGGGTCTGGTGATGCCGATATAGCGAACCACTACCTGAAAACAACACGCCGGAGACGGCTCTTTGCCTCTGTAAGTTCGAAGATGTCTGCGTAGACTGCCAGCGTGCAAACACTTCACGTTGCACACCGTTCAGTGCAACTCAATTTCTCGTGTGTGGATTTGGAGATGACTGCGCAGACTGCTGGATACCGTAAATTTCTTGTTGCAGAACTTACACTCAAAAGGCTTTTCTCCCGTGTGAGTGCGAAGATGTTTTAGAAGATGGGAATCGGTCACAAATTTCTTGCCGCAGACCGCGCATTCGAAAGGCTTCTCCCCCGTGTGCTTCCGATGGTGTACTTGCAGATGATCACTACGCGAAAATTTCTTTTCGCACAACGTACACGCATATGGCTTCTCCCCGGTGTGCGTTCGGATATGAGATCGCAGATTTTCATTTTTCGAAAATGTTTTGCCGCACACTTTACAGTGATAGGGCTTCTCTCCTGTGTGGATGAGGACATGGTTTTTCAACACCGACCTACACGAAAATACCTTGTTGCACTCGGCACACTCGACGGACTTCTCTCCCGTGTGGGTACGCAGATGATGACGCAAGTTTTCACTCCATGAAAATTTCTTATTGCACACAACGCACTCAAAAGGCTTCTCCCCTGAATGGCAACGCACATGACCGTTCAATAGTCGAGTGTCTGCAAATTTCTTACCGCACACTGGGCACTCGTGTGGCTTTTCGCCCGTGTGGGTTCGTGTATGCCTTTGCAGGGCGTTCCTTTGCGTGAATTTCTTGTCACACAAGTTGCACTCGAATGGCCTTTCCCCGTTGTGGATGCGGAGATGAACAGTGAGCCCATATTTCGTAGTAAAGTTCTTGTGGCACACTGCACACTCGAAAGGCTTTTCGCCCGTGTGGGTGCGAATGTGCCGTCCCAGAACACCACTCTGTGCAAACGTCTTGTGGCATACGGTACACTCGAACGGCTTCTCTCCGGTGTGGATGCGCTCGTGACTCTCAAGAAGGGATTTTGTCGGGAACCTCTTGGCACACACACCGCACTTGAAGGCCTTCTTGGGTGCCATTGTGTGTGGGCGCTCCTTGTTGTCCTGAGAGTATAGATGAAAATGTAGTATCCCTGGTGAAGAGAAAGATATAAAAAATTACCATGATTTTATACACGTTGCTTTTGTTGTTTTTGTCGAACACGATTTCTGGTCTAACTGCAGCTCGGGATCAGGCGGCAGGCGAACGAATCGTGCGGTACTTAACTTTTTGTAGGGATCGTACCTGAGGACGGTGGTTACTGCTGGGTCGCGGTCAGTCTGCGCCTGCGGCCGGAACACGGAGCCGCGTTTGACGAACAGGGGGTCCTCACGCTCCGAACTAACTCGGCTCAGATGACTCGGCCTCGGCGCGAACTGGACCACTCAGTGTCCTCCGTGGACTGGAGTGAAGTGGAGTGGAGTAGTGGAGGGACGAAGACGTCCCGGCTTTCGGCGGTGGATGGGAGGGGGCAGCTACGCCGAAGCAAGTGCGTCCGAGCGTAGAACGCAGACCTTCCCAGTGTGCGCGGCGGCCTGGCCGGGAGTTCGCCTTTTGAGCCGCGCTAACCTGGGCGGGGGATTAAGAGGCGGGGGACCAGCGCGTAAATGCGGAATCAGGATGGCCCCGGGACGCCCCGCTCTCCCACGAAAAGGGGAATTCGCCTTTTGAGCCGCGCTAACCTGGGCGGGGGATTAAGAGGCGGGGGACCAGCGCGTAAATGCGGAATCAGGATGGCCCCGGGACGCCCCGCT